ATGTCAGTAAATCCAAGCAGACTTATCTTTGCTTCCACAGATTCAGAGCAGCCTAAAGTATATTTATTGGAGAAAAAGTTGTTCTTGTTAAGAAGAAGAACAACAAGAAGAAGAAAGGACAGAAAAAGAGTGGGCAAACTAAGAATCTGAGAAAACAGAAGTAAATTATCAGAAGCTGCCTGGTTTTTTTCCCTGTGATGTCTGCCAATCTAAGTGTGGTGAATTTATGGACTGAGCAGGATTTTTTAATGAATTGTGTGTGAGACTTGTACAGCCTAATTCACATTGTAATCCCTTCAATGCAATTTGTTTGTTTGTTTGTTTGTTTGTTTTTTTCAATTTGTTTTTTAACTTAAGCAGTTCAGTTCATGGATTATGTTGTTACTACTGGTGGTATAAGGTATTATTTTATTATACCTGGATCAACATTTAAAATTTTAATGATTATTTGACTCTATTAGAAATAGATAATTAGTGCTTCAGAGTTACTTCAAGGATACTTTTGCTGGAGATGAGACTAGTAATTTAAATAAAAACAGACAACCTTATTACTTATTGTACTGATTCCAAGTCCAGTAATAATATTTATGAAATATTTCAGAACTGTTACATAGTACATATTTTTCTTCCTTTTGCACTTGTGATAAATGGAAATTTTGGATTTTTATTTCATTCTATCAACTAAGAATAACAAATAAGAATATAAAATGAAATATGGCTCTGATTTCTTTTATCTAACTAGTGAGTTAAAGTTGAAGTCTTTTGCAAACTGTCTATGAAGCAGATTTCTAGTTTCTTTTTGAAAGATACCCTCCCAGGAAACTTTTTGATTGTTAAATTATTGTCACTCAGAATGAAGCAATTTTTTATGAAATATAATAATTAGGTCTCAAAGTGAAAGTAGAATTCAAGAAATAGAACGCTGTTGCATTCTCTGGGGTCATATGCTGGTACCCCTTCACTGGTCTTGCCAAACTGTCTGTATCCAGCTAGGAGACCTGAGGAAGGGGAGGTACCTAGGATGGGTGATTTTCGACGGAGACTTCAGTGAACATTGATTGTACTACAGACAGATGGGTGGGGAACATGATGAGTTATATCTGCTTTGAAAATAATGTCTTTTGAAAATAATAGCATATGGAAAACCTACAGGGAAAATTTCAATTCTGTAGTAACAAATGTAAAAAAAAAAACTGTCTGTTATGGTTTCCCACCCACCCCCCAAACCTCATACAATCATAGGTGGACCTTTTGGGAAGTGATTAGATCATAGGGCATGATACTTATCAGTGCATAACTCCACAGGTGAGTTTATAGCTGAATGTGACATTGAGAGAGGATGCCTGGTCAGAGGTGGCGGGTCCAAGGTTGTGACCTGAATGTATCTACCTTTCTTTTCCTCTGATCAGTCTGCTTCCTGCTGCCTTGGGTTGAGCAACTCTGTACTACTATGTCTCCCTGCCTTGGAGCCAACCAACTGTAGATTGAAACTTCTATAAATTGTAAGCCAAAATAAACTTTTCTCTTAATGATTAAAAAAAGAAAGAAAATCAGATCAGAAATAATCTCTTATGTGGAAAAAATGACAGCAATCATGAAGGAATTGTACAGTATATAAAAAAAGACATAGATTCAAAAAAAACTTGAGGGGACTAGAAAAATGCTGAAAACATATAATGAACAATACAGGGAAGAATTAGAATTCAAGAAACAGATTCAACAGATATCCATGACATTAAGAATTACATTGAAAACTGGAAAATCATTTGAATGAAACTGAAGATAGTCTTTCAGACCTTGAAGAAACATCACAACTAGTGAATATAAAATGAAAGAGCCCTTGAAAATTGTAAGTAACCAGAAAATAATAAGACAACATTTGCAAGAAGATGCAAAAAAAATAATGTAAGACTAATAGATATCAAAAAAGTCAGTTGGAGTTAACACAAATGACATCAAAAGATTGCAGAAGTAGCAGAAAATTTCTCAAGTATGGAATAAGAATCCAACAGACAGATAAGTTACACATATGGAACTCCAGTTAGTTTAAAATAAATTTACACCTAGACATATAATAATGAAGATCTCAGATATTGAGCAAAGAACAAAATAGTAAAAGCTGTTTGAAATAATATAAGAAGATCACTTATAAAGGAAAGGCCATTAGAATCATGGCAGATTTCTCAAAACAGACTATCAAGTCAAGAAAAGCTTAGAGTAAAATATTTCAGATCCTAAAATAAAACAACATCCAACCCATATTAATGTCCCATGCAAAAGTATCTATCAAATTTAATGGAGAGATAAGATACATCCATGACAAAGAACTACTGAAGAAATTCATGATTGTCAAATCAACCCTACAAAGAATACTGACAGATATTTTAGAAATTGACAGAAACAACCACAGCTTCAAGAAAAACAACAGAAAAGAAACAGCAAACAGAACAAGTAATTAACCAGAGGGGGAAAATAAATTTGGGGCTTTTACAGGTAAATCGATGCACCTAGAGAATGTATTGGTAAGTGAAATAAAGCAGATCCATATGTCCAAACATCATATTGTCTCATTAGTGTGCAAACCTGAAAGAGTAAATAAAATCTGAAAGGTAAAATAGGTTCTGTGAATAGGAAAGAATCTATTTATTGGGAAGGGAAAACTGGGTGAGCAAAAGGACAAAAAAGAAAAGGAAAAAATGTATATTTATGTATATATACAAAATAGTATGGACAATTGCATTGCTGATTTATGTTGGTCTATTCAAAGGAGCAATGAATGCTTAAATTCCTATTCTTCTTTTTAATTTCTTATAACATTTTAATAATAATTTTGCATGCTTATATCTGATAATCTAAATTAATTGGAAGAAAAATTGTGCAATATAACATTGTTGAATTTTCTTGTTGAATTCATATAATTTTGTTATGTATCATTTTAATTTTTTATTATTTTTATACTCCATTGTGTAAAAATGAGATAATGTTCCTTATCTATTCAATCCTCAGTTGATGGGCATTTGAGTTGTTTTCAAGATTTACTTATGAAAAATTGCATTAATATAAACTAGGGTGCACACAGTGCACCTATATCACTATAGTATAATGATTTTTGTTCTTTTGGAAAAATACCTAGAAGAATAGGTGGCATAAATTTAACCTCCATTGATTGTTCAGGAGTCTATTATTTAGTTTCCGAATGAATACGGAGTTTCTGATGTTTCTTTTGTCAATAATTTCCAGTTTCATTGCACTACAGTCAGATAATATGCATGGGATAATTTAAATTCCTTTGCATTTACTTAAGCATGCTGTATGTGCTAGTATATGGTCTATTTTGGAGAACATCCCATGTGCAGCTGAGAAGAATTTGTGTTCTGATGTGGTTGGGTAAAGCACTGTATGAGATTTACTAATTCCATTTCTTTACAATTTTGGTTTAGTTCTGTTATTTCTTTGCTGATATTTTTGTATAGTTGATATCTCTGTGTCAATGAGGTGTTCAATTATGTTATTCCTCATTTGTTATTTCATGTCTGTAAAAATTGCTCCTACATTGAGATATAAATTTATAATTGTTATTTCTCCCTCTTCCATTTTTCCACTCACAAGTGTGCAGTGATCTTATTTTTCTCTTTTAAGTTCTA